CCCCGTCAGCAAGCCTGGCTCCTGAGAGACAGGAGGGAGCTGAGGTGGACTGAGCTCTTCAGTCTCACCAAGCACCAACACCTTGCTTGGACAGGATGGAGAGAGCCCAGGAGGTCAGAGGTCAGGTCCCTCCACATGGGAAGAAGGGCAGGAGGGGAGAGGGGGCCATGTCACATCAAGAGTTGTGCATCCGCTGGGCGCCGGTGGCTCACGCCTGTCATCCTAGCTACTCAGGAGGCTGAGATCCGAGGATTGTGGTTCAACACCAGCCCAGGCAGGAAAGTCCGTGAGACTCTAATCTCCAAGTAACCACCAGAAAACCAAAGTGACACTGTGGCTCAAGCGGTAGAGTACTCGACATGATCTGAAGAGCGCAGGGACAGTGCCCAGGCCCAAAGTTCAATCCCCACGACCAACCAAAATAAAAAATAAAAAGAGAGAGTTGTGCATCATCCAAACACTGGGAGAGAAAGGCTAGCAGGACACACTCTGGGTGTTGGTTCTCATCTGCTGGATGGGTTTAAAGAGGTCCAGAGTAAGTAGGGCGATGGAGAGTGTGGAGACTCTTCCATCTTTCATGAGGAGAACGTGGGTGGGTGGAGAAAAAGTGGGCTGGATTAATCCTGGTGAAGAACATGACTTCAATGGAAACATTCCCCTCCCCTCTTGATAGCCACAGCCTGAAAAATGCCACCTTGCTGCTGACAACACCGAACCATCTCCCCTCCCCTCCCCCCCCTCCCCGCACCACACCCTGCGGCTGTAAGAGAGGTAACCTGTGACCTGAGGGCCAGACCATGACCTGAGGCCTTAAAAATGTCCTTTCCTGAAACTCAAGGTTCCAGCTCTACACAAAAAGCCCCTTCGCCAGCTCCCGTCTGTCCACCCCACCTCTGCCCCACCTCACTCCTGCTGCCTAGTAAAGAGACCTTAGTATAAGGGAGACGTGCCATTTCTTGTCCAGCTGAACTGAAGAATGAATACCCTTCTCAGACTCAGTCCAATAAACCTGTTGGCCCATGAGTT